TACTCGTTCTTTTTTCCTTCTGGCACTCCCATGATTTGGATATTGGAATACTTAAACTTGTCCCAGAGGTTCCTAAGCCTCTCCTCATTTTTTGAATTCTTGTTTCTTCATTCTGTTCTGGTTTGATGCGTATTTCTTCCTTTTGTTTCAAGTCATTGATTTGACTTCCGGTTTCCTTCCCTTCACTGTTGGTTCCCTGGACATTTTCCTTTATTTCACTTTTTGTAGCCTTCATTTCTTCCTTCATTTTGTGACTAAGGTTGATCAATTTTCTGAGCATCCTGATTACCAGTGTTTTAAACTCTGCGTCAGACAGGTTTTCTATCTCCTTGTTGATTAGTTCTTTTTCTGGAGTTTTGATCCGTTCTTTCATTCGGGCCATGTTTCTTTGTCTCAGCACATTGTCTGGGTGAATGTTTCTTTAACTCCTTGGTTGTTTGACTTCCGTGCAAATGTCTTTCTGGCAGTTTTGGTTGTTCTTTGTTTTTGAATTGGTTGTTACCTTTTTTTTGGTGGGTTTTTTTTTTGGTTGTGCAAGGAAGCAAAGTGTTTCTGCCTACACCTCTGTCATGAGCAGAACTCTGAAAGCAATCACATGTCTTATTTTTATTGTTTTATGGATCTTGATTTTTAAAGTTTCCTGAGCCTTAGAGTCAACCTCAGTTATTCTTTCTGCATTATACTTCACTTTTCATTGGTCACAAAGTTTTGTCAATTCTTCATTTAGAACATATTTCAGATGTTGTTTTATATAAGATTTTGTTGAAAGAAAGTGTTTTGCTGTTTTCAAAAGTCTGTAAATGCTGGTATAATGGAAAGGCTAATTGGGTTGGAAGTCAGATCTCAATTCACAACACAGCCACTTTGAACAAATTAACTCTTTAATGCCTTCATTTATTCTTTGAGTGAAGGTAATAATTTCTGGTTTATGGGATTGTTGTGGATTAAGGATAACATGTGAGTTGAATGGCAATTAATAGTAAATTTAATACATGTAGTTTTTTCCCTAACTTTTGTAAGAGCAGAGATTGGCAAATACTTAATTTTTTTGTCTCTTTAAGTATCTCTGCAGCTTTAAAGAGGTGTTAGAATTCAAGCTAGGTATTTCTTTTTTTTTTTTAACTTTATTTACTTTTAGAGAGGGGAAGAGAGAGAGAGAAAGAAAGAAAGGGAAAGAAGCATCAATGTGAGAAAGAAACATCAAGTGATTGTCTCTCTCATGCACCTGGACAAGAACTGGGACTGAACTACAACCCAGGCCTGTGTCCCAACTTGTAATCTACTGGCAACCCTTCGCTCTGTGGGGTAATGCCCACCTACCTCTGAGCCACCAGTTGGGGCTCAAACTATGTGTCTCTTGAGTACTTATTATTTTATAGTCCAATGAAACATTTAATAATGTTTTTTGGCTGTTAATTTCCATGACTTACTTTCACCTGTATAAATTGCTTTTTATCTCTTAGTTATTTTTGGATCCCCTGCATTTTATTCCGTCTTCAGAATATCAAAATCATAGGTATCAAAATCTTGACATGTTGCTTTTGGAACATTTTACATTTCTGTTTTAAGTTTATTAGCACTTTAATAATTTTTTTGATTGATTTGAGAGAGAGAAAACATCGCTTCACTGTTCCACCTATTTATGCATTTATTGGTAGTCTCTTGCATGTGCCCTGACTGGAGATGGACCCTGCAACCTTCAGGTATAGGGTCAACCCTCTAACCATCTGAGTTAGCCAGCCAGAGCCTGTTAACACTTTAAACAGAGGTTTTGCTGCTTTTATTTTTTGTTTTATTTGGATCTATTCTAAAATATGCCACTCTCTAGATGACTAAGGATTACAAAATAATTGGGCTAGTTAATTAATAAGGTTTGTCATACGGTTGAATAATTGGAGTTGGATTAGCTATTTCCTTTTGTTAATTAAAAAATTTGCTGTGCTTATTAATTTGCTCAGGAAATCTAGTTAATACAATAAAATATTATTTAAAATAAGATAGGACATTATTTTTCTAGAGAAAAAAGCTTCATTTTATTTGGACTCTTATTAATTTGGAACTATATGTTAATATGTTCTGAGATGCTTTGCTCAAGTTTTAGGAAGACTGTTTAAATTACCTAAGAGTATCTTCCAAGTACCCATGTATACATTAAAGTACAAAGTACTCTCATTTACTCATAAACGTTATAGATTATTACTAAAAGAGGACCACCTGAGAACCTCGGTTAAAATTTATTTATTTTTTAATAGTAAAATTTTAAAATTTAGTGTTTCAGACAGAATGCTACAATTGTTTACTCTTATCTAGCTGTCCCATAACCTGTTTTTCTTTTAATAAAATGTAAAGAGACAAAAGAGTAAAAGTCTTGGGATCATTAATAAAACCTTCACACTGGCTTTTAAGGTGATGGTGGTAGAGGAAAGCAAAAAGAGAAGCAGGTTCTCAGGAATATCATTTTGTGGTTAAAAAAATTAAGCTCTGTTGATGGCTCCCAAGTATTAGTGAGAGGCAGGCATTTTTCTTTGCTATTTTAGTTTTTTGTTTCTAGTGTTCATGAATATCAGAATTTTTAGTGGCTGTGATTCAGGAAGGAAATGTACCACTGAGTGTGCTTGCGAATAAGTCAGTTAAAATATTTACGTATTTGTTTTTCTACTTCTAAAATCATTATAGAGGTTGTCATTTCCTATTTCAAATATTTGAAGCAATACATGGTAGGCAGTTATTATTTGGAAATTCCAATGCTAAACCCTAAAATTATCTGTTTGCAGAAATTTGTAGAATGTATTTCCCAAATGTGTGTATTGTTAGTGCCTTTTTTTCTTAACTTGATAATTTTATAACAGGATTACTACATTAACCAAAGCACAGAGGATAAGCTTTGTTTGTGGAATTTTCTAGTGAAAATATTTCAGTAGTAAATATGTATGGAATAAATGAATATATAGGTCTTATTTATTTAAGAAATATTGCTAGGTGTAATGGTCTTTCAGAGTGGTCTGACAGTTTTCAGAATATCAACATTCACAGTGAAAAATACTACTGGTTTAAATATCAGACTTTCAAAGCAATACTGAAGCACTTTGATAAAATATTATACAATAACAGTTAAAATCATCTAAAGCAGGGATTAATAACTTTTTCTTGTAAAGGATCAGAAGGTAAATATTTAAGTCTTTGTGGGCTAATGTGGTCTCTGTTGCGAAAATTCAGCTTGGCTACTATAGGGCGAAAGCAGACAGACAATGCATAAATCACGTTTCAGTAAAAATTTATTTAGAAAAACAGGCAGGGACCCTAATTGCCAGTGAGTTTCAATTTAAAAAATATAGCCCTGACTGGTGTGGCTCAGTGTGGTGAATGCCAGCTGAACCCAAAGGTTGACCAGTTCAATTCCTGGTCAGGGCATATGCCTGGGTTGTGGGCCAGGTCCCCAGTTGGGGGTGTATGAGAGGCAACTGATCAGTGTTTCTCTTGCATATCGATGTTTCTCTCTCTCTCCCCCACTTTTCCTCTCTCTAAGAAATAGATAAAATTTATTTAAAAAAAAATATATATATATACACCATATATGGGAACTCTCTAATTTCTTCTCAATTTTTCTGTAAACTTAGAACTGCTAAAATTTATTATAATTTAAAAAAACAGAAAATGAAAATAATTTGATCAAAACCTCCATGGAATCTCTTGGTTTTCACTGAGTGATAAATTTACTAGATGACTGAATCATAAGCATTAATTATCATTTATGCTCTCAGAAGGTTTCACACTGTTCTGTGTTATAGGGATGTTTTTAGGACCCATTATACTCATTCATAAAAACAAACAAGCAAGAAATTGTAGCATGTTATCACTATATTTGGTAACATAAACAGCCAGAGGGCTTTTTCCAGCACTTGGGGGGAATTGTTAGCCGAAATTGCTGACTTAAATGATTTCCTTGCTTGAGTAGAAAATAATAACTGAACAATTTTTAAAAATGCTGCTATTCTCCTATCATTGATATATTAATTACTTTGTTTGAGATTCCATCCTGCAATATTTACTTTTCTCCTATGACTATACCAAAGAATATGCTTTTGAATAAATCAATTAAAATATCATTAGCTCTATTATCTGTGTAACTCATGACAATTCATTTGAAAAATTAATTTAGACTGATGTATTTCAGCTGAATTAGCTTTAGAAACTTAAATATATATCTGCTTTTAATTTTATTGTGAAATAAGCACATAAAGCAGAGATGTTCACCTTAAGTTATTATAAAGTAAAACAATAGAACTACCATGTAAATCAAGAAATAGAGCATTGCTAACACCTCAGAAATGTCTTACACACTTTCCAACTATCACTTTTTTTGTAGGGCTAACCATAATCCTGATTTCATAGTGTCTATTTTCTTTCTTTGTAGTTTTATCTTCAAGTATGCAGCTCTAAACAACATAGCTTAATTTGCCTGTTTTTAAATTTTACAAGCGGAATCATAAGGTCTAATTTCTTCCGTGTGTGACTAATACTTTAATACTCTACTCATGTTAGCCATTCATCAACAACAACAAAAACGGACAAGGTAGACTGAAGTAATGGGCCACGGAGCTGTAGTTAAGCCTGTCTTTAGTGAAACTGCTTGGTGAGTCACCTGTCACAACATGTTTGGTGCCTCTTCCTGCCCTTTACTTGAATTTTTTATTATGTAGCACACTGTTGCAGGCATCTAATAACAATCATGATGGGTCTTGAAAGGCAGAGCACTAGACTTTAAAACAGATTTCTCAGTGGGCTCTATGAGACCTTATATCATTCTGTAAATTTTATTGTGATAGGATTGACTGTTATATTTTATAAAGATTCATTTTAAAGATTTTAATAATAGGAATGTTAATGTGTACAAATGTAGTAGATACATATATACACATACATACTTGTATTTGTGACAAAAGAAACACTTTAACCACCTTAAACATTTGATTTTATAGAAAAAATACTTTGTTTTTCAGGTGAAACTTCCACCGATGATGGAAATCATAACTGCTGAACAGCTGATGGAATATTTAGGTTAGTGTTGAAAATGGATGATTTTTTTTATCTCTTTTAAAATAAAACAAATGCTGTGACTGACACGATTTAGTGGATTGAGCAGTGGACTTTGAACCAAAGGGTCACTGGTTCCATTCCCAATCAGGGCACATGCTTGGGTTGCAGGCCAGGTCCCCAGTAGGGGGCACATAAGAGGCAACCATACATTGATATTTCCCTTCCTCTTTCCCTCTTTTCCCCTCTCTCTAATAGTAAGTCAATAAAATCTTTAAAAATTAAATAATAAAATGAAGTTTTCAAAGCTAGTATGTTACCAAATCTCACCTTCCTGAAGTACTATTATATAATCTACTTAAAAATTATAAATTTTTAATCTCTTAATTAAAATTTCTTATCAGTATGTTACTGTTTTTGGATGATAAAGCTGCATTTTTGACCAGGATTAAAATTCTGCAATATAGATAAGAAAACTGAGAACATCTAAAAAGAACAAAATATATATTAATTCCAATAAATTGCAGAATGAGAAGTATCACAGGAGCTCTGACACTGCATATAGAAAGTCTTTTAAAAATGCTGATTAGACTTGAATTGAAGACCCAGGAGGTGATGTAGAGCAGTGCTACCCAAAGTATGATTCATGGACCTGCTCCAGTTTATGAAACGTCAGCTACCAGGATGTAGTGAGATAGGGGCTCGTACTAGATGTAAAACATTTACATTAGTAAGCACATTGTTTAGTTCATCTGAAACTTTTTGTTTGTTTTTGTTTTATTTATGTAAGCAGGCTTTATTTAATTTTTTCATTGTTATTGTTGACACTCTTGTAGATGTCCTCATTTTCTCCCCTTTGCCTCCTCCCCCTTGCCTCTGGCCATCACCACACTGTTACCCGTGGGTTATACATATATGTTTTTTTAATAATTCCTTCACTTTCTCTCATCCAGTACCCACCTCCCCAAAACTTCTTCATAGCAAAATTTTCTTGATGAAGGAAGTAGTATATTTAATTGCATTCTTATACAAGCTTCTTATTTCAAAACAAACCATCAATACACAGTTTGCAGTCCAGCTGCATTGAATAGAACTTGATTATAGAGCAGATAGTTACACATCCTACTGGGATATTTTACAATTTAGTAAATAAAAGTTTTTATATTTATTACCAAATAGGAAATCTTAATCCATATTCTTAATTTTTTAGCTGTTAAGTTTTTATTTTTATTTTTAAATTGTCAGCTGATTATTTTGTGCCATTCCAGTCAGCTAGCTAAGTGATTTTTTTGTGAGATGTAGGCTTAGTGAAGTAATGGAGAATGCAGCATTGGGAAGACACTTTTCTTTATGTAATTAATATTATTTAATCCCATTTATTGGTCAGGGATCCTCATAGATATGGGCAGATTACTTTGAATACCTAGATATCTAGAAACAGAATTTCTTAAACCTCTTTTAGTCTGCCTTAGTGATTCTTAGATTTTGTGATTTCTAAATTGTATTTTATGGGAAAACTAAAACATGTTTGGCCCTGGTCAGTGTGGCTTGGTTGGAGTATTGTCCTGTGTACTTAAATGACATGGGTTCAATTCCTGGTCAGGGCACATACCCAGGTTGCGGGTTTGATCCCCGGAAGAGGTGTGTGTGAGAAGAAAACCACTTGGTGTTTCTCTCTCACATCAATAGTCTCTGTCTCTCTCTTTCTCCCCTCCCCATCCCTCCCTCACTACCACCCTCTCACCTCCCTCTCTAAAGGCAATGAAAGAATATCCTTGAGTGAGGATAAAAATATAAATAAATAAATACAATATGTTTTGTGCTTTTGAGGAACAGCCAGTGTGACTGCCAAGGAGGGTGTGTCGGGGAGGCAGCAGGAAGTGATATTAGAGAAGTAATGGGGTCGGATCGTACAGGGCACCGTAGGCTATTTATAGGAGCTGTGACCTGTGCCGGGAATGAGCTGGGAAGCCATTAGAGAATTTTGAATAGAGGACTGACGTGATCTGACTTTTAGTTTAACAAGAATTCTTTGGCTGTGATGTTGAAAATAGAATTTAGGGACTTAAGGGACAGAAGCAGAGAGGTTTGGTGGTGGCTTCAAAAAGGGTAGTAAAAGTGGAGATTGTGAAATGTGGTCAGATGCTGAATATAGAGCTAACAAAATTTGCTGACCAGTTGAATATGGAGTGAGATTGAGTGTAGAGTCACGGGTCACCCAATTGTTTTTGGCTTGAACAACTAGAAGGATGGAGTTCACATCAACTATAATAGGGGAAAAATGGAAGAAAATGTTTAGGGAGAAGTATTAGGGAGAATGTATTAGGATTTTGCTTTTGAGAAGTTTATTGATATGTAAACAGAGATATCAGGAAAGTAGTTGGATATAAAAATACAGAGTTAAGAGGAAAGCTCTAGATCAGCGTATGCAATGGAACTTTCTGTGGTGATAGAAATGCCCAGTATCTGTGCTCCCCAGTTTGGTGGCAACTAACCGCATGTGGCTCTTGAGATCTTAAAATGTCGCTGTGCCTGAGTCACTAAATATTAAATTTAATTTTAATTAATTTAAATCGATGTGGCCATATGTTGATATTGGCTAATGTATTAGTACAGCTCTAGCTTGTAAATATACATTAAGAAACAGAAAACATATAAAGTTGAGTTAGATTAAGATCATGAAGAGGATGCATGTAGATAGAGATGGGAAGAGATCAGTGGACTGAGTCTGGACATGCCAGTGATAAGAAGTTGGGGAAGAGAAAGGAGCAGGTGTGCTTAGCCAGGTAGAAGAAAACAGGAGCCTGATTTCCTAGAACCAAATGAAGAAGAGTTTTAGTGAAGAGTGAGGTATTATCTGAATCAAATGCTGCAGTAGTTAAGCAGGAAGAAGACTTAAAAGTTCATTATTGATTAAGCCATCAAGTCTATCGCCATACCACCCTGAACGCGCCCGATCTCGTCTGATTAAGCCATCAAGAGTCCATTGATTGGTAACCTCAAAAAGTGCATGGGATGAAAACCTGCCTGGAGTGATTGCACAAGAGGAAATTGGAAATTCTCATACGTAACCAATAGGAATGTAACAAAGAGCTCATTTTTTCTCAGAAGGTATACAGACAAAGGCAAGTAGAGGGTGATAATAGCAGGGAGAAGATTTGGTATGTTAAATTCATCTACATGTTAGCTAACAAAGCTTTGAGGAAGCAAGACATAGGGTAGGCAATTTTAATAGGGAAAAAGAAAAATTGGTGAAATACCTAGATCTGGGTGAGGAGACTCAGCTACTAAGGGCGGCATGCAAGTGATATCCTAATGGGAGGTTGGGGAGAAGTGAGCAAGAGTGATATGAGAAAAGAGATTCTGAAGAATTTGCCTCGCCAAAAGTAAACTTTATTCAGGGCAAATCCTGCTAGGACAAAAATTTTTTAAACCATTTGAATTTTCTCCTTTTGAGATTACTCCAGTTCTCTGGAGGAACCAGAGATGCTTTTGAGTTAATAAGCAAACACTAGTAGAAAGATTATAAGAGAAACCATTCATTGCTTTCCAAGCACCTAGCCAAAGAACCACAGGAACTTGGGAATTTTGGTAGGCAAAGGTTAGAGGAGGAGGGAATTTTAATTTGGGAAGTTGTTACTGGGGTAGCAGAGCAGGGCCATACATGGACAAGGCTAGTCGGAGAGCTTTGGCATAAAGAAAGGAATAAGAGAAGCTAGGAAACTTAGGAAGTCTATGAGGTCTAATAAGGTTGGGGAAGAAGTGTAGGTGAAAGGCAGAAAATGGGTAGGAAGATAATTTTTTTAAAAGTACAATGCAAATTGTAACATAACTTTACTCATCTTTAATAGTTTGTATGATGATTAGACCTAGTATTACAGTAAAGAAAATTTTTGTTGGGATGGTGGTATTATTTTATCTTTTGAATATAAATACTGTATAGGGAGATCAGTGTTGAAGCATTTTAATTTTGCCCGAAGTTTAGTTTTGCCCGAAGTATCTCCTCTTTTCCAAATGCCCACCTGGGATAAGTTAACTACTGCCAAACCCTCTCTTCCATTTTTGGCCTAATGAAACTTTAAGGTCGTTTGTTTCTTGATTTCTTTTGGTCTGGATTATCCCAAAGTTGTATAGATTCTATCATAAAACTTTCTTTTCTCTGTATATGGATATTTCATAACATGATTTATTGCAAACTCTTTTGGTCCCTCTCGCCTCCAAAGTAGCTTACATACCAGTGTTATCCTTTGAAAGTATCAGTTTCATCCTGCACTTGACTACCTAAAACATAATGATCTCTTATGATCTCTCACAAGCAGACATATTATTTGTGATTTTCTATAATCTGGTTGTGTTTACTTGTCCAGCCATATTTCCCACCACTGTGCAACATAATCTTATGTACAAACCTTCTTATAAGCTGTACATATGGGATGATGTTTCTTAGCATGTGCTTTTTCCATTACTCTTTCTCCTCAAAAAATGCTTTTTCCCTCATTCCCTTGCCAGGTTTGCCCATTTTTCTGAATCCAGTTTAGATCCACCTCCTCCAAATATATTTCTAAGTGTTATATGCTTTATCAGTATCTCTCTTCAAAATTATTTGATACTTAAGGCATTTATTATATTTGAACTGTATTGTACTTTATTATTATCTTACTCCGTTTCCTATATGTTCTTTGCCGAAACACATTATTGTTTTTTAAGAGAACCATTCATTTCCTAGGATTTGTTTTAACCATTACTAAACACATAATAGGCTGTCAATAAATAGTTATCGATTGAAACAATATGTTGACCAATTTCAGAAAATAAAGGTTAGATAAGCTAGACAAAACACCACTCTTGATTTATTTAGGTATCTAAAAGTAAAAGACATTCCTTTAAAAACTCAAATTCTGACTTTAAAAATTTTATTTATTTATTTATTTTTAGAGAGAGGGGAAGGGAGGGAGAAAGAGAGGGAGAGATACATCCATGTATCAGTTGCAAGAGATACATCGATGTTGCGTTTTGAACAACCCCCAACTGGGGACCTGGTCCTCAACCGAGGCATACGCCCTGACCATGACAACCTATTAGTTTGTGGGATGACCCCCAACCTAGTGAGCTTCACTGGTCAGGGCTCAAACTCTTTTAAAAATATCTGGTTCTTCTATCAAACGAAATACAGGATACAAGTATAACTATTATGTTCTCAATTATTTGAATAAATGATATATAGAATTTATATAGAGAGAGATAATTTATATATATATGCACACACACATAATGAATATAGAAAAAATTCTCTATAATGATATATAGGGTATATATATATATATATGCACACACACATGATGTAAGATGGCACACACAATGTGCCATATGCAGTAAGGACTCAAAAATATTTGTCAAATACACTTGCTTATATATCTTTGAAAATCACTTAATTTACTGCTTTGAAGTTCTTGTACCTATGCAGGATGAAATCTTCGCTAGTTAGATTTGGCTGTCTTAAAGTTCTAATTAAAAGTGTAAGTAATATATTAATGATCATAGCAGTTCTTTTAGCAGAGTTGGAAAGCTTAAGAGAATACTTGATGCAGTCTTCAGAAGTTTATTTTGAACTAGAAAGTAACGGTTGTATTATAAACAATTTTATCAATTTGTTAGTGATTTAGAAGTCTGGGTAAGATGTTGGTTTCCTATGTAACTGTTTACGTCAAAATAAATTCCAGGTAAATTAAAGATTTAAACATTAAAAAAGACAAGCATAAAATTACATGAAGAAGGCATACGTAAATATTTGTATACTTTTAAGAGGTGAAGATCTTTCTAAATATTATATCCAGTACAGGAGCCAAAATAGAATAATTTGATTACATTAAAATTAAATATATCTATATCATAGACAAAAAATCATCACCATAAAGTCAGAAGCCAATACAGAGAAAGATATTTACCATACATGTAACAGTTAATGTTTTAATTCCTCTAATTGAAAAAGAGCTTTTACAGTTCAGTAAGAAGAAATAATACTTTTTGAGGCAGGCAATTCAAAAAAAAGAAGTATATATACAGTTAATACATAATTTAAAAAGGCAAACATAGATAAAAACACCGTAGATATTAAAGTAGAGCTAACTATATTTAAAAGGTTCTACAGTTGGTTGGAACATCATTTCCATATGCCAAGGTTGTAAGTTCGATCCAGAGTCAGGGCACATATGAGAATCAACCAAGGAATGCATAAGCAAGTGGAACAAGAAATCAATGTTTTTCTCTCTCTCCCCCTTCCTATCTCTCTTTCTAAAACCAACAAATAAAAATAAAAGGTGCCACATGTACTAACAGTCACACATGTATTAAAAATTTGATACCAAATAAAAATACACATGTGAAAACATATCAGTTTTTTAAATGCAAAACAATTTTGCTTACTTCTCAGAATGTCAAACATTCAGAACACTGATAACACCTCCATACTTGGAAAGGTAATAGGGTAATAGTTCTATTGTTAATAACAGCGAAACTTGGTACAGTCTTTTAGAGCTTTATTTAAGTGGCATGGAAAGATGCTCATGTGTATTGTAAAATGTAAGAAAAAGCTCAAAAGCATTAGAGTATGTACGTTGAAAAATATATGTGAAACTAGCAAACAGTTACTATCAATTTTCTCTAGAATTGGGGAGGGGGTAGTTTTATATATTACTTATTGCTGTAATTTAGAATTAAAATCTGTCTTTTCAATCAGAAAAAAGCAATATTTTTAAAAGGCAATACATAATTTCTTTTTACAGGAGATTATATGCTTGATGCAAAGCCAAAAGAAATTTCAGAAATTCAACGTTTAAACTATGAACAGGTAATAGAAACAATTTTTATTATATTATGTAATTTTTAACTTACGGATGTATTCATTGGTCTCCATCAGTGGCCAGTCTTTGTTGTATATGAATATACTTGTACAGGCTATATAAAGTGAAACACAGATATTATTTTACGGGTCTATGTAGACTGATAACCATTTTTATTTTTTTAGCAAAATTAACTTTCAAGTGATTTTTGTCATTGATTCATCTTTCATCATTTAAAAAACCTATATTTTATGATTAAGTTATATAGGAAAAAATTGAACAAATGATACCTAGGATATGTCATTAGGATAATTAGGACCCTGCTGTTTAGTATTTTCAATGTGTTCATATTTCTTAGCATGTTCTTTACTCTGTTCTGTAATATAGAAGTGGTCACTAGGTTCAAAATTATAGGAACTGGAAGAAAGCAAGCAGAGCTTCCTTTTTTTTTTTTTAAGTATTCTTCCTTTGTCTGACAGTAAAAGCCCAGAAGGAATCAGTTTCTTACAGTAGAAGAAAGGAAGCATGAGCCAGAGCAAAAATAGATATAAAGTATATTTACTTTCAAAGTTTTTTAAAGTACTTTCACTAGTATCAGATTGGCAAGCAAATTCATTTCATTATCACAGAATTTCTTGAATTTAGATGTTTAGATAATCTGGTTCTAAAAGAATTGAAAAGCCAACGTGTTGCATTGCATCACTGTATAAGGTTGGAAATCTGTAGCTAAAGCCAAATATGCTAAGTCATTTAAAATCCTATTGATTTCCTGTGTATTTCTATTATTTCAATTAGTTTAGCCTTCATATGTTCCTCTAATTTGTGATTAAAATCAACCAGTTCTGTGAGCATCCTGATCACCAGTGTTTTGAACTGTGCATCTGAAAGTTTAGCTATTTCTTCTTCACTTAGATTTATCGGCTCTGGGGCTCTAAGTTCTTCTTGAGCCACGTTTTGATCTGTTTGTGCCTGTTAGGTATGAGGAGTAGAGCCTTAGTCTCCAAGACATCTTTAAACGTTCCAACATCAGAATTATAGGGGTGCCATAAGGAAAAGAGGAACAGCCACGAGTGGAAAACTTATTTGAACAAATAATAAAGGAGAACTTCCCCAATCTGGCAAAGGAAATAGACTTCCAGGAAATCCAGGAAGCTCAGAGAGTCCCAAAGAAGTTGGACCCAAGAAGGAACACACCAAGGCACATCATCATTACATTAGCCAAGATAAAAATGAAGGAGAGAATCCTAGAAGCAGCGAGAGCTAAGGGGACAGTCACCTACAAAGGAGTTCCCATCAGACTGTCAGTGGATTTCTCCAAAGAGACCTTACAGGCAAGAAGGGGCTGGAAAGAAGTATTCCGAGTCATGAAATCCAAAGACCTACAGCCAAGATTGCTCTATCCAGCAAAGTTTTCATTTAGAATAGAAGGGCAGATAAAGTGCTTCTCAGATAAGATCAAATTCAAGGAGTTCATCATCACCAAACCCTTATTATATGAAATGTTAAAGGGACTTACCTAAGAAAAAGAAGATAAAAAAGATGAACTGTGAAAGGACAGCAAACTCACAATTATTAACAACCACACCTAAAACAAAAGCAAACTAAGAGGATAGCTAGATCAGGAGCAGAACCATAGAAATGAAGGTCATATGGAGGGTTAGCAACAGGGGAGTGGGAGAAGGAGAAGAGGGGAGAAGGTACAGAAGATAAGTAGCATAGATGGTAGGTAGAAAATAGATAGGGGGGAGGGCAAGAATAGTAGGGGAGATATAGAATCTAAAGAACTTGAGACACGTGGTCATAAACTAAAGGGGGGGAAGAGTGGGGGAGGAGGGTGCGGGATGGAGGGTAATGAAGGGGGAAATAGAACAACTGTAATGGCATAATGAATAAAATATATTTTTTTAAAAATTCTATTGAAATTCCTAGCTTAAAACAATGATTTCTAAATATTTTTTTGCAATATAAGCCCCTTTGAAAGGAAATCTTATGCTAACTTCCAATACATAAAACCAGTAAATGATATTTATAAGTATAAAATGATATGAATCAGTTTATATTACTTACTTATCATATTCATGTCATTTCTTACTGAAATCAGTGAGGCTATTTTGATAAATATAAAACCTTGAAACTAGGAATCATAGATAATAGCTAGAAATTCAACCTCAAAATTTATTTCACTTCTGTCGCACAGTCTTGAGAAAATCTTGACTGATGAATGTTTGTAAAATGATACCAGCATTTTGTTTGCTTCAAGTCCATTTTTCAGTCTCAGGATATACCTCAGTAAGGTGATGGACTCTTGGAAAAAGACTGGAAGTAGTTTTGTTTAAAAATTGAAATGACCACTATCTAACAACAGCTTCTATTTTCTATAAACATATCAAACAAAAAAGTACCCTGCATTTAAAATAATCTCTTTCATTACCTTTGAGAGTAGTATATATCATGTTGATATGGCTGAGTATAAGTTGGTATTTAATATTCTACAAGTATGATGTAATAATGTTCTTTTTTGTATAATTTTATGTGATCAGAAATGTTCAAGCCTAAATTTTAGGAAGACCTGTGAAGAGCCACAGTCTTCCCAATGAAAACCTCTTTACCAGAAGTTGTAATATCAACAAAGAGCATATTTCCCAGTTTTGCTAAATGATACATACCATGACAACACCAGAAAACATTGAATTTTGGGGTGTGTTTATGACATTTTTTATTTATTTTTTATTATTTTTAATCCTTTTTATTGAATTTATTGGAGTGATACTGGTTAACAAAATTACTCAGGTTTCAGGTGCACAATTCCACAACACATCATCTGTACACTGTACTGCGTGTTTACCACCCAAGTCAGTTCTCCCTCCATCACCATTTATCCCCTCATACCCACCTCTACCTACTCCCACCCCTCCCTGCCTTGACAGTCACCATACTGCCATCCATGTCCTTGAGTTTTTTCTTTTTAGTGCAATCCCTCCAGCGTACCCCACAGCTGTCAGCCTGCTCTCTGTCTATGAGACTGTCCCTGTATGACAGGTTTTTAAATGACTGCAAATATATTTGTAATATATTTTATATTTAAGTTTAAAATATTTTGCTGTTAGAAGTACCTTTTGGAGAAAATTCCAAGAAACAGTTTAACCACTGGCTTAAAGGAGCCAAGAGTAATCTTTGTGATGTAAGCAACCATTCCTAGTATCTACCTAACTTGAATTTAGGGAAAAGATGATACAATATTTACTCTTTTAAATTATTTGTTTATAACTTTATTTGTATCACTATTAATCTTTATGGATTAATTATAGAGATTATCAAATGGTATCAACTTACTTGTTTTAATACTATATAATCTGTAACAAAATATAGAAGATATATAAAGGTGTAAATGTGAGTCTATTAGCTATTCAAAATTATACTTCCCCCTAATGGAAATTTGATGACTGGAAACCTTGAATTTAACAAACGTGCAAGAAAAAATCAGTAGTAGTAATAGTACAATCCTATTATTGCTCATTATTGTTACTATTTTCTAAGATCTATCACTGCTGTGGCTATAGGCAAAGTTTTAAAATACTGAAGGGAAAAATGTGAACTGACTTTTTTAAGGATTCAGCTTTTGATAGAATTGAGAAAATACAGTTGACCCTTGAACAATTTGGAGGTTAGGGTCACTGAAATGCAGTACAAAGAATTGCATATAACTTTTGACTCTCCCAAAACTTAGCTGTGAATAGCTTACTGTTGACTTGAAGCCTTACCAATAACATAAACAGCCAGTTAGCACATATTGTTGCATCTCTTATGAGGGGAGACCCCCCATAAAACAGAATTATCATCTGGAGGGTGGGCCCCTTGTAGGACAAGCTTCCCACGCTAGGTGAGTGTTCTGGGAACCCATCTGTGTCAGTGTACCTACTGATGTTTTCAGAGGCTGCGTTCAGCCTCAGTGAAATTTTTTTGATGACTTTTTCAACGTTTGCCCATTTTGTGATGGGTGATTTACACAGCACACCTGCCCACACTGTGCTGAGTGGTCAGCAGTTTTTCACCAAAAACATCATCACTCCTGAGCCCTACCCTCCTTATTTACCCGATCTCGCCCTGACTTTTTTTTTTGTTTGTTTCCCTCGATGAAAAAAGCCCTCAACGGCAAACATTTTGCCAGTGTGGAACAGGTGAAATAAAAAAATGGTGGAAGCACTGAAAGGCATCTAAATCAACATGTTTGCCCTGGCTGATGTAGCTCAGTGGGCTGAGTGCCAGCCTGCGATTTCAAAGATAGCTAGTTCGATTCCCAGTCAGGGTACCTGCCTGGGTTGCGGGCTAGGTCCCTAGTCGGGGGGCATGTGAAAGGCAACCAATGTTTGTCTCACACATCAGTCTTTCTCCCTCTTTCTTACTCTCTTCCCCTTGCTCTATAAGTAAGTAAGTAAGTAAGTAAGTAAATAAATAAATAAATAAATAAAATCTTTTTAAAAAATTGACATGTTCAGTTTTGAAGGTGGAAGAAATGTCTCTATAGTTGTATTGTATCAAATGGAGAGTATTTGAAGGTGACTAAAGTTTAAACGTGAGAATAAATGCACAATTTTTAATAAATAAATTTTGTTTTTTTCTGGTTCCACCCTCATATATATTAGGTACTGTATTCTTATAATGGAGTAAGTGAGAGAAAAGAACATATTAAGAAAATCATAAGGAAATTACTGAATGTCAACTATATTGAATGTCAACTATAATTAAAAATAATAAAATTATAAGGAAGACAAAATACATTTGTAGCATTTACTGAAAAAGATCTGTATATGAGTAGATATATGTAATTCAATTTCATGTTACTGCTCAAGAGTCAATTATATTGTTTTGGGGAAACATAGTCTTTAGAAAGAGGTGAAACTGATGAAAGCCAGACTATATAATAATGTTATCTGTTATAAATTCCTCATTTATAAATTTTAAATATTTGAATAATTTCTGTTTTCAGTCTGTCCAGTCTTTTATAATAGAATTTTATCAGTTGTTTGGTAAAACAGAACTTTGTTCTTATGACATAAATTTGTCTCTTTCAGATTTCAGAGCGAGTCCTGAGCTTTAATAGAAAAGGATTTATTCCATGTTCACCCTTTCTTTTATAAACTCTTCAATAGGCTATAGTCTACTCCTATTTTATGTCTTTAATATATATCACAGTGTCTTAACAGTAGGGATTCACAAAGTTTTATTAAATTTTATATATTGGCTTCTATTTGTTCCATCAAATACATCCTTTATAAGTATGTCCATATTTAATGTATTAAAATTTAGAAAAACATATTTAAAAATAGTATTTATTACAGAGTTGTGCGACCATATTTACTGAGAAAACTGATGTGGTTAAAAAGACTCCTTACTTTGGCCAACAAACCTGCGGGATCCAGCCTCTGTCTCAGACTTCATCTCCCACCTCTTTCCAATTCATTTATTATGTTCTAGCCATGCTGGACTCCTTGCTGTTTCATGGGCACAATACTGAACTCATTTCTGCATCAGTGTTTTTACACTAATGTCCACTTTGTCTGGAATACCTTTTTCCCAGAGCTTCCCAAGATTCAGTATTTTACTTGGACACTAAGTGTCATTTTAAAAGAGTTCCCCCTCCTCTTTTTAAAGCAATTTGAGTTTACAAAAATTTATTTAAAATACAGAGTTCCCACCTACCTCCTGTTCCCTAATACGTACACACAACCTCCCCCATTATCAACATCAACATTTGTTATAAGTGATGAACCTACGATGACATATAATTAATACCCAAAGTCCATAGTTTATGTCAGGGTTCACTCTTAGTGTTGTATGTTCTATGAGTATGACAAATGTATGTACCATTATAGTGTCAGACAGAACACTTTCACTGCCCTAAAAATCCTCTGTGCTCTGCCTGCGTGTCCCTCCCTCCTCCTGACCTCTAGGAACCACTGTTTTTCGGTCTCCATTGTTTTATCTTTCCCACATTGTCATTTGGAATTATATAGCGTGTAGCCATTTTATATTGTCTTCTTTCACTTAGTAATAACATACATTTAAGTTTCTTCCATGTCACCCTGGCTGTGGCCTGCAGGTGGAAAGGTCACAGTTCGATTTCCAGTCAGGGCACAGGCCAGGTCCCCAGTGTGGGAGGCAGCTGATCGATGGTTCTCTCGCACATAGATGTTTCTCTCCCTCTCTTTCTCCCAATAAATACAAAAAAATTTCCTCCATGTCTTAATAGCTTATTTCTTTTTCTTTTTTGTGTGGTTAAAAAAGATAAAATTTACTATCTTAATCATTTTTAAACATAAAACTCAGTAGTGTTAGCTGTATTCACATCGTTTTGTAACAGATCTCTAGAATATTTTTATCTTGTAAAACTGAGACTATGTACCCGTTGAACGATTTCCCAGCTTTCCCTCCAGGCCCTAAAAACCATCATTCTACTTTGTGTTTCCATGATTTTGACTACTCTGTGTATTTCATATAAGCAGAATAATGCAGTATTTGTCCTTTTGCAGTGACTTATTTTATTCAGCATAATGTCTTCAAGTTCATTTATGTTGTAGCATGTAATAGAATTTTCTTTTTTTCAAGGCTAGATAATATTCCATTGTATGTATATACCACATTTTCTTTATTTATATGACAATAGACATGTAGGCTGTTTCTGCCTCTTGGCTATTTTGAATAATGCTGCAGTGAACATATGTGTACAGGATGTCTTCAAGATGCTGCTTTCAGTTCTTTGGGACATATATGTACATGTGGGAGAGGCCTTTCTCTTTGACTAGAAACTTTTGTCTTTCAGCTTCCTGGTCTAAAAATCAGTACCTCACCCCTGTAATTCTGTACATCTTTATCCTGCTCAATTTCATTTACTAATACTTGACATTATATATGTGTGTCTCTCACAGTAGAATGTTAGTTGCATGAGATCAGGAACTTTTTCTATTTTATTCACTATTATATATTTAGAACTAAAATTACTGTCTTGCATATAGTAGGTACTTAATGAAAATAATAAATAGTGAAATAAAAAAGGGATGAATAAATTAGATAAAATGGAAAATTAGAAGCAAATGTATTTGCATTTAGATATCTTTTTGTTGTTTCACTTTCCTTATCTTTACCCTTTACTTTTCTGTTTTCAGAATATGAGTGATGCTATGGCAATCTTGCACAAACTGCAGACAGGCTTGGATGTAAATGTAAAATTCACTGGTGTTCGAGTGTTTGAATATACACCAGAATGCATAGTATTTGATCTTCTTGATATTCCTTTGTACCATGGGTGGTTAGTGGACCCTCAGGTAAGTAGAAAGTTTTAAATTATGTAAACACAAATTTAGTAATATGCTACTAATTTGTCATATTAAACCTAGATTTATATTTTCTGATACTTATATTTTTGCATTTTTACCTGGAGCCAAATTGAGAGGTTAAGGGAAGAGCCCTCCAGGGGCGGTGCTACACCTGCCCGAGCCCAGGACTTCTGATTGTAACTTCAGGGAGTTAGGAGTCGATTACAGAGTTGAGTCCACATCCTCACAAACACTTTTTGTCTGTATTTTTTTAATTATTGTCATCCTAAGAGGTGTAAAGTTGTATCTCATTGTGGATTTGTTTGTATTGCTCTGATGACTAATGGTGTCAAACATTTTTTCATATGCTTATTGGCCATTTGTATGTTTTCTTTGGAGAAATGTCTGCAGATCCCTTCCCATTTTTTTAAAGATTTTATTTATTTATCTTTAGAGGGGAAGGGAAGGAGAGAGGGAGAGAAATATCAATGTATGGTTGCCTCTCATGTATTCCCTGCTGGGAACTGGCCTGCAACCCAGACATGTGCCCTGACTGGAAATCGAACCGCGATCATGTGGTTCACAGGCCCGTGCTCAGTCCACTGAGCTACACCAGCCAGGGCCCCTTCCCATTTTTAATTGGGCTGTTTGTTTTTTTCTTACTGAGTTGTGGGAGTTCTTTATGTGAGGGGGAATCCAAAAAAGCTTCCCAGATAAGAAAAGCTAAAAGATAGCTTTGTTAATAGCAAACCAGTACTGCAACAAGTGTTAAAGGGCTTGCTTTAAGAAAAAGAAAAAGGGAAAGGAAAAAAAGCCAGAGGAAAACAGTCTAAGAATAAAATAGCACTACACACATTCTCTATCAATAATTACCTTAAATGTAAATGGCTTAAATGCTCCAACTCAAAGTCAGAAGGTAGCTGAATGGATAAGAAAACAAGACCCATAAATATGCTGCCTCTGAAAAGCCCATTTCACATCAAAAGATACAGGCAAACTAAAAGAAAAGGCTTGGAAAAGGTATTTCATGAAAATGGTAAAGAAAAAAAAGCTGGGGTAGCAGTATTTACACTTGACAAAATAGACTTTAAAACAAAAGCTATAATAAGAGACAAAGAGGACACTACATAATAATGAAGAGAACAATCTAACAAGAGGCTATAACCCTAGTCAACATTTATGCACCATACATGGGAACACATTAATGTGTAAAGCAAATCTTGATGTACATAAAAGGAGAGATCATCAGAAATAGAGTCATAGTTGGCAATTTTAATACCCCATTGAACTTCCAGCCAAGATGGAGGCATAGGTAGATATGCTTTGTTGCCTTACACAATTAAAAGAAGGACAAAAACCAATTTAAACAAAAACGGAACTGCCAGAAAATCAAACTATATGGAAGTCTGACAACCAAGAATTTAAAGACTAAACATTCATCCAGACTGGTGAACCAAGACAAAGAAAAATGGCCCAAAGTAAAGAATGGATGAAAACTCCAGAAGAAGAACTAAGGAAGGAAGAAATAACCAACCTATCAGATGCAGAGTTCAAAGCACTGGTAATCAGGATGCTCACAGAAATGGTTGAGTTTGGCCATAAAATAAAATAAGTGAAGGCTATACATTCTAAAATAAAGGAAAATATAAAGGAAGCCAGCAGTGAAGGTAAGAAAACCGGGACTCAACGATTTGGACAAGAAGGAAGAAATAAACATTCAACCAGAATATAATGAAGAAACAAGAATTCAAAAGAAAAAAAAACGAGGAGAGGCTTAGGAACATCTGGGACAACCTTGAACCTTGCAGCATTCGAATCATAGGGTTGCCAGAAGGAGAAGAGGAAAAGTAAATTAAAAACTTGTTTGAAAAAATAATGGAGGAAAACTTCCACAGTCTAGTGGCGGAACTAGACATGCAAGTCCAAGAAGCTCGGAGAGTCCCAAAGAAGTTGAAACCAAGTTGGAACACACCAAGACACATCATAATTAAATTACCCAATATTAAAGATGAGAGCCCTGGCTGGTGTATGGTGTAGCTCAGTGGATTGAGCACAGGCCTACAAACAAGAGGACTGCAGTTTGATTCCCAGTCAGGGTACATGCCTAGGTTGCAGGCCAGTTCCCAACAGGGGACCCACGAGAAGCAACCATACATTGATATTCTCTTCCTCTCTAAAGATAAATAAATAAAAATTTTTTAAAAGATAAGGAGAGACTCTTAAAAGCAGCAAAAGGAAGAGGAGAGCATTACCTACAAAGGAGTTCTCATAGGAGTATCAGCAGATTTCTCAAAAGAAACCCTACAGGCATCAAAGGGGTTGAAAAGAAGTATTCAAAGTCATGAAAGGCAAGGGCCTACATCCAAAATTACTCTATCCACCAAAGCTATTATTTAGATTGGAAGGGCAGATAAAGTGTTTTCCAGATAAGGTAAAGTTAGAAGAGTTTATCATCATCAACTCCTTATTATATATAATGTTAAAAGGACTTAGAAAATGAAAAAGATCAAAACTATGAACAGTAAAATGACAACAAACTCATAACAACTGAACCTAAAAATAAAAACAAAAAACTAAGCAAACGACTACAACAGGAAAAGAATCACAGAAATGGAGATCCCATAGAGTATTATCAGGAGGGAGAATGGGGGGAAAGGTACAGGGAATAAGGAATATAATTGGTAGGTAAAATATAGACAGGGGCAGGTTTAGAATAGTATAGGAAATGGAGAAGCCAGAGAACTTACATGTTTGACCCATGCACATGAACTAAGATGGGGGAATGCTGGAGGAAGGGGGATACAGGGTGGAGGGGAATAAAAGGGAGAAAAAAATGGTACAACTGTAATAGCATAATCAATACATTGTTCTTAAAAAGAAAACCTCTCAAATTCAATGGATAGATCTTCCCAGTGTAAATTCAACAGGAAGACAGCAGCCTTAACAATACCCCATATCAAATGGATTTAATTGATATCTTCAGATGTTTACCCCAAAACACCAGAACATGAATACTTTTCAAGTGCACATGGAATGTTTTCTAGGATAGACCACATGTTGGGACACAAAAGAAGTCTCAATGAATTTAAAATAATTGAAATCACATCAAGCATCTTCTCTGACCACAATGCTGTAAACTAGAAGTCAATCACAAGAAGAACACAGAAAAACACACAAAGACATGGAAGCCAAATAACATGTTACTAAACAATGAATGGGTCAACAGTGAGATCAAGGAAGAAATTAAAAGCTACCTTGAAACAAATGGTAATGAGGACACAACAATCCAAAATCTCTGGGACACAGGGAAGGCAAGCCTAAAAACGAAATTCATGGCATATCCTGCCCATATCAAACAAAACACAGACAAAACTCAAATGAAGAATATAACTTCACACTTAAAGGAACTTAAAAAAGAACAACAAACAAAACCCAAAGTTATTAGAGCAAAAGAAATAACAAAGATTAGAGCAGAAATAAATGGAGTGTAAAAAAATGATACCAAAAAATCAATGAATCTAAGAGCTATTCTTTGAAATGATAAACAAGATGGACAAACCTTTAACCAGACTCCTCAAGAAAAAAGAGAAAGGACCGGCCAAGATGGTGGCATAGGTGAAAATACTGTATCTCCTTGCACAACCAAATTTGAGGATAACAAAGATTTAGAAACAAAAACACAACCAGAACGGACAGAAAATTGAACTGTACTGAAGTCCAACAACAAACCATTCATCCAGATGTGCAGATAATTCAGGCAAAAACAGGCAGTGAGAGAGACTGAGCAAGCCATGGCCCCAGTGCCGGGAAATAAAGCCTAAAAGCACCAATTGGAAAAAAACTTGCGGGGGTTGAGGTGCTGGGAGAGACTCCCAGCTTCACAGGAGAGTTTGTTGGAGAGACCCACAGGGTCCCAGAACATACACACATCCACCCACCCTCAAACCAGCACCTGAAGGACCCAATTTGCTTGTTGGAAGCAGCAGAAGTGAAGCAAGCACCATTATTCCCTCTATGACTCTGCCCCCACATACAGCATCACAACCCAGCCACTGGATTGCACTGCCCTGGTGAATGCCTAAGGCTCTGCCCCCCATACCTAACAGGTGCAACCAGACCAAAAAATTATGGCTGAAATGGAAGAACAAATCAAAGCCCCAGAGCCAATACTTCTAAGCTACCAAGAGATAGCCAACCTATCAGATGCACAGTTCAAAACACTAGTGATCAGGATGCTCATGGAACTGGTTGGTTTTCATGGCAAATTATATGAAAAAATGAAGGCTACACTAAGTGAAATGAGGGAAAATGCACAGGGAACCAATAGTGATATAAAGAAAACTGGGACTCAAATCAATGGCGTGGACCAGAATGAAGAAAGAAAAAACCAAACAGAAAAGAATGAAGAAACACGAATTCAAAAAAAAAAAATGAGGAAGGGCTTAGGAATCTCCAGGACATCTTTAAATGTTTTAACATCCAAATTATAGGGGTACCATAAGGAAAAGAGGAGGAGCAACAAGTGGAAAACTTATTTAAACAAATAATAAAGGAGAACTTCCCCAATCTGGCAAAGGAAGTAGACTTCCAGGAAGTCCAGGAAGCTCAGAGAGTCCCAAAGAAGGTGGACCCAAGAAGGAACACACCAAGGCATGTCATAATTACATTACCCAAGGTTAAAATGAAGGAGAGCGTTCTAGAAGCAGCAAGAGATAAGGGGACAGTCACCTACAAAGGGGTTCCCGTCAGATTGTCAGCTGATTTCTCAAAAGAGACCTTACAGGCAAGAAGGGGCTGGAAAGAAGTATTCCAAGTCATGAAATGCAAGGACTTACATCCAAGATTGCTCTGTCCAACAAAGCTTTCAGTTAGAATGGAAGGGCAGATAAAGCGCTTCTCAGATAAGGTCAAGTTCAAGGAGTTCATCATCACCAAGCCCTTATTATATGAAATGTTAAAGGGACTTATCTAAGAAAAAGAAGATAAAAATATGAACAGATATAAAGACA